AAATAAGGAGGGATAAAGATGCAATAATGATTTTTTTTCTTTTCCCACTTTGGAGGACTAAAAACAGCATTCCCTTTAGGATAAAAAGAAAAACAAATGGAGTACAAAGTTTGAAGCAATACAAGTCGCAGATTCTAAGTGCAAGCATTTTCAACTGTTTCGTTGCCAGAATAGAAGAGACAGCGGTGACAAGATTAGCAAGAATTTCAAGCCAAAAACCTTAGTAACTGAGACAGATTATACATACAATGACAATTTATTTTATATCTAAACGCAGGAAAAAGAATCAAGTCCACCAGCTCAAGCTTTCAGGAGAGTCTCAATGGCCTCAAAGAATAGCGGTGCCATCTCAGGGTTTGGGGTCTTAATAGCACACTTGACTCCTGGATTTCCAATAACTGTTGTGAGTTCAATCAAAATGGGTATACCTTGAGGGATCCTTGCGGAGAAGTAGAAAACATCCTGGTTTGCATTCTTGCGCTTTGCTATAAAGAACATGTTTGATAAAGCTAGCCGGTCCAAAGTTGCATCAGCACTGCTCACCGCAATATCTGGGAACTCCTTCAGGATCTCATTTGAATCGGGCAGTGACCTCCAGGTCTATATATTCGTAAGAAAACACATGAGAGATCGATTCTTATAGCTATAATCAACATCACAAAGGAACCTCTTCTAAAATAGTGTCACTAGTTTGGTCATTAAAAGAGCTATGAAACATGAAAGAAAACTATGGCAATCTTTTTGTCATTAAAAGACCCAAGAAACATGGAAAAAAAAAAAATGAAACAAATTATTTTACCTCCAGAAAATTTGCCCGTTCCATTTTTCCATCCTCGGTGAAAAACACGTGCAACAAGATTTTATCATTGAAGTACCACACTGGCTGCTGATTATTTTTCACGGCAACTTGCAGAAGTGAGTTAGGGGGGCCAGCAGAAATATTCTGAAATAGCACCATTGGCAGTAGGGTACTTGCTGATGCCCCAGGTGCCAATGGTGGAACCTGAAGAGGTCCAGCAGCTGCCAGGCCAAATGTATTCTTGTTGAACTGAATCATGAACCCATCAAGTGTCAACTGGGAGTTGTTCTCAAATAGTAAACTGTAAAATATTTGACCATCACGCTGTGTCAACTGTGCACTGATTTGCAAACCCTGTCCGGTTGCTGCTGGTAGTAAAACGGGCAAAGGAGGCCTGTAAAAAAAGGTCAAAAAATCCAGGTAAGTGCAGTTTATAGGCATGCATGTCAGCTATCCCTATCAGTCATTAATGGTATCAGAATCCAAGGAGCTGAAGTAAATCTTTAACATGATATCATATTATGTTTTCGCCAAAAATGACATTACATCACAATTTACATTTAGCAAGGGCCAAGTCATGCACCTACTGTTACTTACCCGGAAGGAGTTGAGGGCTGATCAACTGGGACAATAGAACTATTATCAAGGCCTATCAGATCACCTAGTAGATCAGGCACAGGAGGTGCAGGTGCAGAAGAAGGAGAAGCCGCTGCTGGCTGCATTCCTGCTGCATGTGGGATGCTGCTTGAAGTGACTGGTGATGCACCACCATCAACAGGTTGAGCAGAGTGAGCAGGTGAATCAGAATACCCTGGTTCACTTCCATCAGGATAGTCATCATCCTCAGTTTTCTGAGTTATGGTCTTCACACGAGTTACAAAAGCATCTGGTGGTTTGTGATACACAGAGGACAAAGTTGCAATGTTGGCAAGAAGCTCATCAAGAAGAGATGGGTCAAGTTGGTTTGAATCATCGCTGATCACTGGCTTCTCAGCTAAGACAACATCCTTGGCTGCCTGTAGACAACATACAGGCTGATCATGCAAGCAACTAAAAAGCAAGCAGTTTTTATATTATATATTATTCTGAAAGGAACCAATCATAACAGGATAAGAGAGATCTATTGGCTTAACAATGCCTATGAGCCTATCTCTTTTAAGATGCCCTTTTGTCAACAGGTTGAAAGTGGCTAGAAAACAGAGTAGCCAAAATTAGTGCAGGCAAAGTTTTCAACTAGGGCTTCTGTAGCTAAATCACACAAAGCAGAAGAAACACCTTTTCAAACCAAATCAACCATATAGCCAACCACATTTTCCAGCCTGCTAGACTAACAGTAACTGGCTTTGTGCTCTGGTTCTAGCACCTACTAGGGTTTGAGCCCAGGGAGCAAACACCCACCAACCCCTGTATAGCCATTGCCCTCCAAAAACAAAAAAGAGCTAAGCCAACCGTATGACATGGGTTGGGTTGACTTAGAAGTGGTTCACAATAAGGAAAATAAAAGTAAAACATGCTGAAAAATAGTCAAGTAGCTGTTTTCCCTAGGATTAAAGAAACAAAATAAAAGTGAAAACCAAATCAAGCATCACAATTAAAGTTTTAAATGGTTTGCAGACTAAATGTTGACACTAATTAATTCACCTCAGGATCAGTTGAAAGAAGACGCCAGTATATGTATGCACGATCCCGCAAATCAGGATTATCTGTCTCCACAGTGGCATTATTCAAAACAACCTATTAACAAGAAACCATACAATAAGAATTGACTGTTATGTCTTAAGATGATAAACAAGTAGCTACAATGGATTTGAACAATTTTGCATGTCAAACACTGATCCAAGACCTGAATCATCTGCTGTGGACCTTCAGTTGGTTTCTTAAGAAAGAGCTTTACAGTGGCAGTTAACAGTTGCAGCTGAACTTGGGGGGGCTCTTCGGGGAAACTTTCCAAAAAGCTTTCAAGGAGCTCATCAGCATTGTCAATTCTTTCCGCATATTCACCAATTATCCATATCATTGATGCCTAACAAAGGAAGAGGTAAGCCCAGAGATTCATAAGAGCTCAAAGATGATAATTAAACCTTGGTAACAGGAGAAACAGAAGTACCTTTGCTTCTGGTTCATCTAGTGTATCTAAGCTCTCACAGAGTGTTGCAATAATGGACTCATAGCTGTAAAGGTTAACAACAGATTTTATGTTATGAAGAATTTAAATAAATACTAC